GTTCAACCCCTGGGAGCATGATTGTGCCTAATTGGTTGGGTTTCTCTCATCAACAAATCTAGGACAAAGTCATATACAATGATACTTGCCTCCTTGATCTCCTGTATAGTCACATAAATATCTCTTCTCTGAAATGAACAGATTGTGAGTACTACACCTACATTTATACAGATTTGCTTTTTACACAGGGCTGAGCTAAACAAAATGACAAGTCAGAGAGTCACTCAGTCTTAAACAGTCAGTAGCTATTAAACTGCTGGTTATCATCGAGCTCATTGTGCCAATCATGAAGATCCATATCCTTAAAACTTAATGTATTCTGGTTTTGTATTTCCATGATTGTGCCATAAATATGATAGCCTACCTTCTTCAAGAATATGTTTTCAACCAAAGAAAGATCAAGGTGTCGTTAAAATTAACAGGAATCATCCTCTACATGCTATATGTATGCTATATGATCTGACCACTTCCTTGTTGCTGGTGGGTCAAAAAACTGTGCCATATCTGTAAGGAATAACAATAAGACAGACAGCTTACCAAAATATCTCCTCACTAACATGTTTTGCTTTTCTCTGTTCTGTGTCTCTGCTGCCCAGAATAGACATCAAAGATCAGTGAAAGTAGGCAGCAACACAGCAGTCACTTCTAACAGTCCAGATAATAATACCACTATGTAACATGACACTGTGTCCCTATCTTTGTTTCCTTTGTCTGCTGCTAGCTCTAATGGCCAATCATGACATGATCAGTATTTTTGATTGAGTCAAACGTCATTTGTTTTTAGTCTGGAAACAGGCTGCTCCTTTCAGCCGTGCATCAGTTGGAGCCCATCCTCTCTGGATGCGGATGGTTTTGTCGCCATGGTGCCCCTTCATGTCTTGACGTAAGCAGGACTGGACATGACTTGTTGTCTTTGAGTGCCTGATGCTTTTCTCTCTATTGTCCTTCTGCAAAAAAGATGGACACATCTGACAAAGTGTTGAATGGAAGTTGACTGACAAAGAACAACAGTAAGAAGTGTGATGGAAAGAAGGAAGAGAAAAGAGTAAAATTAGAGCAGTAGAGGAAAAAAAGAAGAGAGTCCAAAAATAGAGCCTGACAAATATAATTTAACAAAGTCCTTTCTCCTGTTTTATAATATGCTTTTGTCCTTGCATGGATTGCAAACAAAGAATCATTCAGATAACCAATGTAGCTGTACACTCAGTAATGCCACTATCATCTGTCCCTCCTCCGTCTCAGGTGCATACCTGGTTCCCTACTTTATTCTGCTCCTCCTCATCGGCATCCCCTTGTTCTTCCTGGAGCTGGCGGTGGGTCAGAGGATCCGGCGTGGTAGCATCGGGGTGTGGAACTACGTCTACCCACAGCTGGGAGGCATCGGGGTCTCTAGTCTGATGGTAAGAGACACCATGAACTCACTAACCATGTAACTCTTAATACTGGTTGCACTTTACAATGAGGCATGATAGAGCTGCAAAGAGCTGGTTCTGGAACAGTTTTTCTTCATTCTTGAATGTAACTTGAATTTTTCCTACGGTGGATTAATAAAGGTCCATTTTATTTATTTATTTAATAGTGAATTAATCTGCAGATTATAAAATCAGTTTTCACAGAATTTTAAGCTCTGTGATTCTTGATAAAATTCACGTTGGGAGTCATACTCCCCTGAAATGCATCTACACAGGTGTGTACTTTATACTTTTTAAAGGAAGAAGCCACAAGAAACTTTAATTTTTTGTTGATTCAGGGGGCCTTTTATCACAACTTCACAACTTTAGGGTTTACAGGTTGTCACTAATGTGCTGATGAGGGGTACATGAAGGTCTGTACCAAAGCATGAAATCATGTCAATTACAATGTAATTCAGTGGTTTACACAGTGAAGAATATATTTGTTTGCTGCACGAGTGGTTGGAGAAGTTTATACTATTCCCCCAATGAAAACTTCCCATTGAAATCCATTGCAAGTGACATGAGTTGACTACAGCGCCTCTCTCCACACACCTGTCTCTTTAATGTCTCCAACTGATTACAATGTTTGAGTGCCTACCTTCTGCAGGAAGGCTGATTTATTAATAACCTACTAATATTTGATGTGTTATTATTAGTGGAAAAACCCATGACATATTTTTTCCACTTTACAGCGAGCCATTGAGGCTGGTAAACAATGAATGAAGCTAGAGTTACAAAAGATATACACCAACCAAAGGGGCCCTTTGTGGCCTCACAAACCGTTTTTAATGGCTTATCACTGATTTGTTAAACATTAATAAATGATTGAATTACCACTAATAAACCTATTGGACTTATTGTTTGTAAAACGCCATAAACAGTATTGTAAAACCACAATTATTGTACTTCAGCTTTAGAGAAATACAATGGGTATTTAGGACAAAGATCAACAACTGTTATTGCATTGATGTAGTGTTCAAGATAGTAATTTTCCCTCTTTCACCTCTCAACTCAGAGTAAGACATGTTATGTGCAGAGACGATAAACGTGCTGTACAACTGCCTCTGCCTGCTCATATTACTTCCTCTTGAAGTTTTACAGCAAGCGGCATGCAAAGACAAGCACAGATCAGTGTCATAATCTGTCCCCATCATCTGCAGGAGTAGTGACCCATCATGTCCCCATCCCATCAGTGTCATCAGCCTAAAACATAGTCAGTCAGTGGCTGAGTCGGTCAGTCAGTGATCTACTGCGTCAGTCTTTCTGATAGTGATTTCATAAATCTGGTGCAAAAGAGAGGAGGGAGATGCCTGGCCTGGGGCAGTGAGGCGTGTGGCAGCCCGGATGTGGCAGAGGGAGATTCAGCAACTATAAATACCTTCACATAGAGGACCCTAGACTTGGCTGCTGAGAGCAAACAGCTCAATAATTCATACACACACTGACTTAAGCTGTATGCTCAGCGGCTGTGCCCTGACTCAAGAAGAGGCGTTCGCCTCAACAAACTGCATGCTGTTTGTCCCCTGTGCTGTTTGTGTTTGTACATTTGTGTGGTGATGTTTTTAAGAGTAATACGTTGTTTTTTTCTCATCTTCCCTCAGGTTTGCGGTTTTGTTGGCCTATATTATAATGTGATTATCGGCTGGAGCATCTTCTATTTCTTCCAGTCCTTCCAGTATCCACTGCCTTGGGCTGAATGCCCCTTCGAGAGAAATGGAACCCAAGCCAGTGAGTGCACAACACAGCTGAAACTGTAATAGAGAAGAACACCTGACAAAACAAAAGACACAATGTAGAGGAAAAATTAATACTGCAGAGTCCTGCAGGACTATTCTGTATTCAGTATCTCAGCTGATGCAAACACACACATGCTGCTCAGTTCTATGCAGGACGGTGCTTAAAGCTGCAGAACGTGTCTTTGCATTGAAACAGCTTGCCTTGCTGCGGCTCTGCAGTCAAGCAGCAGTGTCTCTGCAGGCTAACAGAAAAGTGTTTGTGCTGTCTCTATGGCTGAGATTGCCCTGCGCTTCATCCTACAGAGCAGCTTTGTCGGCGAGGCCATTCAGATGCTACGACCCAGCTGACAGCGTTAGTCCATCGAATGGCTGGGCAGCTGGTAGCCTGTGGTGGAGGCACATGCAGGTTCTGGCAGAGTAAAGGGCATTAGCTTTCATTAGCATTCAAGGACAGGATGTCGACTCTGCTTATGATTATGAATGCAGCGGGGATGCCGTGGAGCGTCCAATAGGATTTAGTTAAGCTATGTGCAGTGGTGGAATTATGCAATTATGAAGCACTTATAGTTGTTTTGCTCCTTGTACTATTGTACTTCCTACTCCACTACAGTTATCTAACAGTTAGCGGTACTTGTTACTTTGCATATTAAAGGTACTCTGTGGAGTTTTTGACTAATACTGCAATATAGCAATGTTTCACTGAGTGGGTGCCCCCTTTTCCTTGTCTCGTGCATGCACATGCAGAGGCACATGCACACAGACCTGAGTGACATGCTCCACAGTCTCGTCAATGGTTTCACACTATTTCACTAACAACGGGTGGCGGTAATGCACCAATAAACACAGATCTGCACCAGCAAAGGCAGAGAATATGAATACTGCAAGTAAGCAAACATGTTTCAAAAATCTTTTAAACATTTAAAACACTCAGAAATCTCCATATTAGCAGGTATTTTTTGTCAGTTATTGAGTCTGAAAAGTAGAACAATCTGACAATGCAGAGAGATAATTTTCTAGAAATTAGTTTCAGTATCTTGAAATATTAGAAAATGAGAGAGAATAATGTTGCACTTAATCAAAAAAAAACATAGTTGTTAGGATAGAAGTTTTTGCACTGTATGCTGATTATGTTGATAGATTCAGTAGTAGATTCAAAAATATGAGTTGGTATTACAATTTAAGCACACAACAGTGTTATTATTATTTGTATTAATGATCTAAACATTGACTAGCAACATCATTAAAATACTGCTTACACACACACACACAAATGCACCAGTAATAATACATCATACAATAATCAACATTTTAAAATGAACCTTTCTGCATGATGTGTTACTTTTAGTACTTTTAAGTACCTTTTGCTGCTCATACTTTTGTACTTTTAGTCAGGAGGACATGGTATTTTGGTTTTGTCACTTTTACAAGTAATTTCAAAAGTACTTCTTCCACCACTGGCTATTTTAAAATACATTTATATGACAGGTAAAATTAAATATGTAAAGTTTTCTGTAAAACAACAAATTGTATGTGTGCATACTCCACTGTAATAGCACTGTTTATTCCATTTCTCTCTCTTTCCTCGTTGCTGTTGTAGTCGTGGTGCCGGAGTGTGAGAAGAGCTCAGCCACCACTTACTTCTGGTACCGCCAGACTCTCAACATCACCAGCTCCATCGATGACACAGGCGGCCTGAACTGGAAGATGACCCTGTGCCTGCTGGTAGCTTGGATCCTGGTCTGCCTGGCTGTCATCAAGGGCATCCAGTCCTCTGGGAAGGTATGGGGTCTCCATGGCTTTACAGCAGGGGCCGATCCCGCAAACTATAGAGATTACCAAACCATATACTGGATAAAGAGGCAGACAATAAATAATTCTGACAAAAGCTCAGAAGCTTTACAATTCTATTTTTAATCGATCATTCATCCATATCAGTTTTATTCACTTTGCTAATGCTTTTCAGTCAAAGGTAAAATGCTCAAGCCTGTCATCAGCATTAGTCTATTTTTGGATCTCATCTATATTATGGAAAAGAGACACATGCAACATTAATAAGCTTAAACTGAACCAAGCAAAGACTGGTTCAGGATGCAGATGGAAAATGCTCCTTTTGGCAACAACTGGAACAACATCCTGTAATCTTGATCCAGGGAGTGAGTCATATACCACAGCGCAACATCCAGCCCACATTTTCAATAGGAAAATACGAGGATCGCCAAGGTTTGACACGGTTTTTTGAACACTAAACTTAGTAATCCAATTATCATAGTCAGTACTGCAATGCTTCCCCGAAATGCTGTAGGAAGGATTTTGACTCATCTCTCAAAACCCACTCAAAGTCCACTCCACATTTGGTAAGATTTCACAGATTCAGTGCCAAGCAAACACAAAGCAGTTTTGAGATTGATTCATCGTGTGTGTGTGTGCGTGTGTGTGTGTGCATGGTTGCAGTCTGGTCCTCATCCATGTGAGAGGCCTCACATGGAAAGCGTGACCATGGCAACACTGTATAATGTACTTGACTCTCTCTCTCTCTCTCTCTCTCTCTCTCTTAGGTGATGTACTTCAGCTCTCTCTTCCCGTATGTGGTGCTTTTCTGTTTCCTGGTGCGAGGTTTGCTGCTGAAGGGAGCAGTGGACGGCATCGCCCACATGTTCACCCCTAAGGTGAGAGAAAATCGGCAGGTTTTGACCAAAAAAGAAGCAATTCCTGAACAGGATTGCCTCAGCAGGATTGCAGTCTGTAGTGAATTTCTGTGGTCCTATAAAATATATTATTGGTAAGCTGGAGGGTGAAAATTGTGTTTAAACTTGCTGCTGTTTTGGTATTCATTCATTCATGGACTGTTCACTGCCAAACAGATGTGCAACAAAAGTGACAGTTTGTCTATGCAAGCTGTTCAGCTGCTTTACCACCAAGGCCATTCAGATCCACTCATACGAAATTGTCATCAATGTCCTCATGTTTTCATGTGTTGGGTTGATGTCTCCCTCTAGTGGTGAATACCTTTAACTACATACACAAATTGATACTGAATAGCATCATTACTTACTGTGACAAAAAATAAATTAACTTTTTTATTTGCTCTATAATATCATGTAATGTGAATTATTTTGTAGTCTGCTGATGTCAAATGTCAAAGGAGAAGTAGAAAACAATAGAAAGAGCCAGCCAGTGGATTTAGTGCTTTTGCAATAAACTGTGAGTTTTACTTTTGGCCTCAAGTCATCATCAGTTTTCTAATGAAGTTGAAAGTTCACCTCACAGTACAAGATATATTGCAAAATAAATAAATGCATGGATTTCTTTAATACCGAATGTGCTGACTTTCAAGAGGATGACATATAGAATAATGTACAAAACATGGTGTCATCAGTCTGATAGAGAATATATATGAAATATGAGGGGAGACTATCAATGTTCAAGAGGGTTTAAAGAGCATAAATGACAATAAATATGACCGTATCTGTGACTAATCTTTGACATTTCCCTTTCTTCTCCTCCAGCTGGAAAAGATGTTGGAGCCACAGGTTTGGAGAGAAGCAGCTACGCAGGTCTTCTTCGCCCTCGGTCTGGGCTTCGGAGGCGTCATCGCTTTCTCCAGCTACAACAAGCGAGACAACAACTGCCACTTTGATGCAGCGCTGGTCTCCATCATCAACTTTGTTACCTCCATCCTGGCCACTTTAGTTGTGTTTGCTGTCCTGGGGTTCAAGGCGAACGTCATGAACGAGAAGTGTGTTGTCGAGTGAGTACGTCTTACTGTAACAAACCTGACCGGTCTCCCTTTGCCAGCCGTCACTCACTAACACATCCCTTTTCTCCGCATCTCTAATTTCCTGTGCGCAGCAATGCAGAGAAGATCCTGGGCTTTCTAAACACAGGTGTGCTAAGCAAAGAGCTCATCCCGCCTCACATCAACTTCTCCCACCTGTCTTCAGAGGACTACGCAGAAATGTACGCCGTCATTAAGACAGTGAAGGAGGACAGCTTTGGCCAGATGGGCCTGGACGCCTGTTTGCTGGAGGACGAACTCAACAAGGTCAGAATGGAAGAGTTCACGAGCTCTGAGAACGAAATGTTCGTTGATGATTTCTGAATAATCAGAAGTGTGTTTTACTATCAAGATGTAGTTTATGTTTAAGAGATTATTACACAACAAGATACAGATAAAAAGTAATAGAAGAAAGGTTAGATTAAAAATACCATGATGCTAAGCAAAGTAGTGTTTCCTCTACAGCTACAATGATTAGCAATTTATCAATCAATCAGTTTGACAATTGATCAATTGATTTTGAATCGTGGTAAATAAGTTTGAGGTGTCCTCCAACTGGGGATTAGCATTTTCCATGGCCATAGTTTAAAGCCTTTATTGCTTCACTGTAAGTTTGCTCATCACTGTCAAGGCTAAACAGGTAATTGCTTATAAGAGCTTCATCAATGAGTAGGAAAATAAAACTACTTTGCAGGTGATGGAGTTAAGCTATACCCACAATCCATAGTTTCCTCTTTCATAACACAGTTATATGGTTTGTCAGAGGTGGGAAGTAAATAGTAAATACTTTGTTACTGTACTTAATTAGTTTATTATGTATCATTACCTTACTTAGTTATGTATTTATTTTTCTGTACTTTCCATGTTTTCAAAACAGGCTCATTACTTTAGTTTGAATGTATTTGAGGGGAATTATAACCAATACTACTACTACTATTATTATTATTATGATTGTTGTTGTTGTTGTTGTTGTGGCATTATGAAAATGATGTAAAAGACGAAACAGACGAGGGAGATCAACCCTATTTGAAGTTTCAATTAGCTTTGAACAGAAACAGCCGTCCTTTACTTAAGCATACTTTTTACTTTTATACTTTGAGCCTTAAATGGCTGCACTAGAGTTAATGAACAAAAAAATGGATGATTTTCCACATAGGATCACTCATTTCCTTTAACCACTGTAACTCGTCTTCTGTCTGTCCTCCAGGCGGTTCAGGGAACTGGTCTGGCGTTCATCGCCTTCACAGAGGCCATGACACATTTCCCTGCCAGTCCCTTCTGGTCTGTCATGTTCTTCTTCATGCTCATTAACTTGGGTCTGGGAAGCATGATCGGCACCATGACCGGCATCACCACACCCATACTGGATGCTTTCAAGATCCGCAAAGAGATCCTGTGTGGTGAGCTAACTGTCTCAACTCTAACTCAAATCTCTTGTATGCAATTGAGATATTTGTGATTTTTACTGGATGTTTCTTCTTCTTTTTGTCAGTGGCCTGCTGTATAATAGCCTTCCTGTTAGGTCTGTTGTTTGTGCAGCGTTCAGGCAACTACTTTGTTGCCATGTTTGACGACTACTCAGCTGGTTTGCCTCTCACTGTGGTTGTGATTCTGGAGAACATCTCTGTAGCCTGGATCTATGGCACTAAGAGGTAACTCAACTGAATATGTATGAAGTCATTTTTGGAAATAATTCATTTTCAGCCGGCATGTTTAGTGCCTCTAGACATTTCCAGTGTCTGGTGAGTTTGGGAAAAGAACTGCAGTATGTGATCTGTTTCAAAACTTGCCATATACTGCTGTCTACTTCATTTCAAATTCACAAAAAATCTAAATAATTTTAGCCACACTATGGCTCGAAAGGATAGTAATACAGGTTGTTTAGACGTTCATGATTCCCATCAGCCTCAGTCTTTGTGTTTAGTGATATTAGTAAACGTTGGCATTGTTCAGCAATACAGAGCAGCTAACACGGCAAACTAAAATGGTGAACAGAGTAAACATTTCTTGCTAAATATAAAAATTAACATAACTTTGTCATTGTGTGACATTGCCATTTAGCTCAAAGCAACGCTGTGTCTAAATGCAGCCTCACATAGCTATTAGCATGGCTGTAGAAGCTTTGTCTGTATCTAAAATTGCAAGATATTTATTGTTGCCACTTTATTTAAGCATCCTGAGCATTCTGAGTGCAATTATCAACGCAATGGATCAGATTTGATAGATTAACCTGTGAGTAATGATGCACAATGATAAATAAATGTCCAAAATCTCAATTTACTTCTCACTATACAGTGTCTGCATGGACACAGGAAGGGAAGTAGGGGTGCTGAGGGGGCTGCAATAAAAACCATTAGTTAAGCTTTTGATTTTCTCCTTTGTGGTGAGGAAGACATCCAGCCATTGCAGTCCATCTAAGGTGTCCAATTCCAGGACTCTGGTATTGTGAATGTTTGCTCATTGGCACGGCCAATTGGGTTTAGACCGTAAATAATAATTCCTTCCCACTCTTTATTTCCTTTCCTCACAGGTTCATGCAGGACCTGGAGGACATGCTTGGTTTCAGGCCATACTCCTTCTACTACTACATGTGGAGGTATGTGTCGCCAGCTATCCTGGTGGTGCTCATTGTCGCCACAGTCATTGAGATGTCCATCAGTCCTGCAGGATACAACGCTTGGGTGGAGGCTGAGGTTAGTGTTTAGTTTCTCTTGTGTTTGTGTGTTCACTGAAATAACAAAATTAGATAGAAAGTAGATAAACAAAGAGGCAAAGTAGATGATTACTCTATAAATGCCCTTCTCCTCTTTCCTCTCTTTTTTAACTTTTTTTCATCCTCTTCCCTTTTTCTTTGCCAGGGCGCAGAGAGTTTCCATAGCTACCCTCCCTGGGCTTTAGCCATGGCCTACTCCCTCATCGTGGTGGCCATGCTGCCTTTACCCATCGTCTACATCGTCCGCCACTTCAACCTGATATCAGACGGCTCCAACAAGCTGTCAGTCTCCTACCGTAAAGGCATGATGAAGGACATCTCCAACCTCGAAGAGCAGGACGAGCAGCGCTTCATCCTCAGCAAGAACCCCAGCGAGGCTCCTTCACCGATGCCCGCCCACCGTGCTTACTTAGGCCCCGGCGGCACACAGGAGATGACCAACACCAACTATGGCACCAGCACCAAGACGGGCTACCAGAACATCGGCTCGCCCGAGTCTGAGCTATGATCCACTGAGCTCATAGATCCTTCCATCCACTAAACCCCGGTCCTGCTTGGAGAGAGGGAGACAGAGGAAGAAAGGGAGGAACAGAGGAAATCAAGAGGGAGAGAAAATCCACTGGTCATTGTTGCAGCGTTCATCCCACCTTAACCCCCAGAACTGAATCCCTCTATCCCTCCCTTTTCTGCTCCATCGCTCCTTGCCTGTGGTTCTTCCCTTCTTCCCCGCCGTAGGATCTGTGCCGATAACTGTCTGTCAATCTCAGCTGTAATGAGGGGATCATGAAAGTGTGAGTCCCACCAGATATGATGTTAAGGTATTACAGGGGCAGAGATTGACGGACAGAGACAGGAACAGAGGAAGGAATGAGGCTTTGAAAGGCTCACTGAGGGCTCAGATACAGGATTTGTTTTGTAATAAGTTCTGGCCAAGGTTACGGAGTGTGCAATGCTAAAATGCTTTAGGTTGTACTGAACCATAATCCCATGTGATCACCAGTTTGGAGAAGGTTATTTTTGAGACAGTTGGATGTTCCTAGATCTAGGCGATCCTCATCTTTTTCTGGTTCAGCTGTAGAGGATTGTTATTTGTGGGGATAGGATGGAAGGAGACTCAGAAAAAAACCTGTGTATCACCGTATGAGAACAATCCTCATCTAGAAAACAAATTTGCGTCCATAACAGTATGTAATGTGTGATTCTGATAGTGTGAACAGTGTTACAAGCACATTACATCTTTAAGTTTATTGTGCCTATCATGCATCAGCAATAATAACTAGTCAAAGTAGGGTCGTTATAAAACTGTGGATCTCCTTCTATCCCTACTTCCCCACTAATGTAGAATACTGTACATATGTGTTGTGCAATAGTCCAAGATGTCACAGTAAATCGTGTATATACAGCACAGTCGTGTGAGGGGAAAGGCTTCACCTCTTCATTCTTTCCCAGCGAACACCGAAGCACAGACACCCACTATCATTAGAGAATCTCTGAGCCTTAATACAGAGCAGCACTTTTCTTTTAAACAGCCCCTTTCCTCGACAAACAAGGCTCTGGAGTTGTTGCCAACAAGCACTGCACACGTCATCTCTGTGCTGTTCCAGTCGCAGCTGGCCTAGACAAAGCTTTTCTATTTTAATCAATCATTTAAATCAAGCGTTTCCATTTTAATCAATGCCGTAGAAGGACAGAGGTGGCGGTGCACGAGCAGAGATAAGCAGAGTGGCTTGTGTTTTATGAGCTTCACGCTGTCTGTCTGTGTTCAAGAGGCAGGAAGGAATTGGAAACGTGAGTTTTGTCTGTGTGTACGTGCAGATGTGCACGCGCGTCAGTGTGTTGTCTGCCACTGAATGAGAGCTCCTGGTGACCCTGCCTCTTTAAAAATAGAGCAGCGTTACCCAGGGGAAGCCGTGGCAACGCACCATAGATACAGATCCTCTTCTGATGTGGAGGAGGAAGAGGAGAGAGGACACCTTGCTTTGTCTGCTCCACCTGCACAGCTGTTTGTTCAGTAATACAGAGATGAGACATTTTACTGTCCTACAAGAATATATCTCTACCCTTGTTACTGTGCGTTGAGTAAGAGGTTCACTGCCATGCCGCACTGTGGATTTGTCATACTTCATCCCTAAGAGGATGATGTTTGGGTTTAATTGTACATTCCTCAAATTGTGACCACTACGGGCATCATTTCATAAGCACTACAATCTACACTTTGATGTCTTTTTGTGAACTAAAGCGTAAAAACTAAAGCCTTTTTTAATTTTTAATGTATAATATTGTATGACAATGTATGTTTTAGGAGTATAATGTGGAAAATGTACTGTGATATAAATGTTTGGAATAAGTGGTAATACACAGATTTCCCCACTGGGTGTCTCTGCTGGCCAGCGGAGGAGCCAATAACACGCTCTCTCAGTCTGGTGGCCCCTCCCTGAGACAACACCAATACTTGAGACTGAACAGATGTAGTGTGAAGCACAGTCAGGCACATTGTTTGGTGCCTGAACAGCATCTCTGTTGTCTGTTTGCCTTATGCTTTTGTCGTTTTGTTTTCTTGATTATATAGTGTGTTTGTGTAGAGTTTGGACCAATGTCTTGTCTCATTCACTTGAGCACTTTAATTAGGTAAAGACCCTGGAGTTGATTTGACAAAAGCTTTGTAGAGTTTAAACATTAATCATAAGAATGCCATCATAGAATATGTTTTGGTAGCAATATTTAGAGAGAGAGAGAGAGAGGGCAGTGTGTCCATGAAAGGCATCTAGTTTCTTAGCTAGATTTTTATGAGCATTTATTTGATTTGAGCATTTTAACAAGTTATAATGTGGCATCTTATGTTCAAAGCGTGTTTATATGTTCAGTGTTGTCCTGTTATCATGTCAGTGTTGATTGATGCTTCCGTGCCATTGGCTGGAATTGTTAGGTCCTCCTCATTTTACGTGATGTAAGTGCTGACCCATGCCTACGTTGTGGTCATGTGGCCTCTAACATGGCTCTTGCATCTGCTCAGGTTTCAGGCTACAGTACCTAGTACTTAGTAGTGCCTACAGTAGCTGTGATGTGTTGTGTAGCATATACATATATACATACATA